TTGGCCAGGTGTTTGTGTGGCCTTTGACTCCACCCATGGCATCCCTAGGGTGGGGCCAGGGGGTAGAGTTCTATTTTCCTGAATGGTCCCCATTCCTAGGTCCAGAATGTCTCCCAGTCCATGGAGGTCCTTGAGTTGCGAACGTATCGTGACCTCCAGTATGTGCGCAGCATGGAGACCCTCATGCGTAGCCTGGACTCGAGGCTCCGGGTGGCTGATGGATCCCTCTCCGCCAAGAGCTTCCAGGTGGGTTCTTCTGGGTTCAGGCCAGAGGTTGAGGAAATGATTGGTGATTTGGTGCCTGTGAGCTCCAAGATGGGTTTGTGTTGGGGAAGAATCTGGGATCCAGTCTAGACCAGATGTCAGGGGCCAGGAGTGTGGATCAAAGACAGAGGTTGGAGTTACATCTGGGTCAAAGGCCAGGGGTGAGGCTTGATGATGGTGGTTCCCTCATGGCTGGCAGGAGCTGAAGGACAGGATGACAGAGCTCTTGCCTCTGAGCTCGGTCCTGGAGCAGTACAAGGCAGATACACGGACCATCATGCGCTTGCGGGAGGAAGTGAGGAACCTCTCGGGCAGCCTTGCAGCAATCCAGGAAGAGATGGGCGCCTATGGGTACGAGGACCTCCAGCAGCGGGTGCTGGCACTCGAGGCCCGGCTCCATGCCTGTGCCCAGAAGCTGGGTATGCTTTGACCCCTGACCCTGATCCCTGACCTCCATACCCAATCCCAATCCCACTTGTTCCTAGACATTAGAAATACATGGCTTCCAACTTTGCCCTAACCAAACTCCATATTGGGACTAGATGTTTGACTCTCTTTCACACTCCCCTCCCCACCCTGGTCCTAGCCCTTCCCAATTGGGTCACAACATTCTTGCCTCCTTTGGGCCTTTCCCTTGCTCCGCCTTCATTCCCTCCAATTCCTGCCTCGCAGGCTGTGGAAAACTGACCGGGGTCAGTAACCCCATCACCATTCGGGCCATGGGGTCCCGTTTTGGCTCCTGGATGACGGACACGATGGCCCCCAGTGCAGACAGCCGGGTGAGTGACTGTGCCCTCCCCTGGGGTCAGAGCCTGGGAGGGATAGAGCCTGTGACTGCCCATAGGTGTCCAGGGGTCCCACACCAGTGACTTTCTTATAGTTCCCAAATGTCCTCCATCTCTAGGGCCTTTGGATCTCTCCTTAATCATCTAGTGAGCACCCAGTGATCAGAGTTTTCCTGCCCTGTGAATCCCAAAGTCTGCAGATTTCCAATGACTGTATTGGCTACTACTGACCAGTTTCAGTTACCATTGACCTCTAGTAACTACCCAGTGAGTAATGCTTTCCCAAGGATAAGAGGGCCTCCCTGCACTGCTCAATGACCTTAGACTTCTAGGGACTCTGTGATCATGACTGCTCATCACATAGACTCACAAAAACCGTTCATGATCTGCCCAGTGACTGTCCTGGAATTGTGACCTTCCTAGTGATTGATCTTGGTCACTGGGTTGCCACTGAGTATCAGAGTTGATAGACAGTGACCTGATACCATTCCACCATGATCACTGGCCTTCTAGGGATGACCGTGGTTCAACCAATTGGGTGGTTTGAGAACCAGAGTTGGAGATGCATTCTACCATTTCTTAGCCAGGGAACTAAACCTTTAATTTCTTTATCTTTGAAATGGTCATGATAATGTCAGCATTCAAGTTGTTTTTTTGGTTGTTTTTTTTTTTTTGAGACAGAGTCTCACTATGTCACCCTTGGTAGAGTACTGTGGTGTCACAGCTCACAGCAACCTCAAACTCTTGGGCTTAAGCAATTCTCTTGCCTCAGCCTCCCAAGTAGCTGGGACTACAGGCGTCTATCACAACACCTGGCTGTTTTTTTTGTTGTAGTTGTCATTGTTGTTTAGCAGGCCCGGGCGGGTTCCAACCCGCCAGCCCTACTGCATGTGGCCAGTGCCCTGAGCTACAAGTGCTGAGCCACTATTCACATTTTTAAAGCTTTTAGCTCAATAATAAGGGTACTTGGCCCAGCTTTGGCTCAAGAGGCTAGGGCTCCAGCCACATACACCAGAGGTGGTGGGTTCGAGCCCAGCCGGGGCCTGCCAAACAGCAATGACAATTACAGCCAAAAAATAGCCAGGTGTTGAAAAAAAGAAAAAAAAAAAGTAGCTTGGTGTTGTAGCGGGCGCCTGTAGTCCCAGCTACTTGGGAGGCTGAGGTAGGAGAATCACTTAAGCCCAAAGAGTTTGAGGTTGCTGTGAGCTGTGACTCTATGGTATTCTACTGAGGGTGACATTGTGAGACTCTGTCTCAAAAATAATAATAAGGGCACTCACAAACACTAATTAACATAAGGATGATAATGAAGAAGATAGTAATGACATTCCTAGTCACCTCGTGGCTAGAGGGGTAACCATTGAAATTTAGTGACTTCTTATCACCCAAGGGCTATCCAAAGACCACTAACCATCCAATGACCACTCAATTCCAGGGCCCTGTGAGCTCCAAAGAACTGCAATTCCCCCTCCCTCCAATCCTTTGGGATCAAGCATTGTCCGTTTGTTTCTATTTTAAGACCAATGGTGTTCATGTGGACTACCATTGGTCAACAGAAATCCCTTAACTGAATAATGATCACTTAATGACGTGGCTGCTGCCTGAGTGGTTGCTGGGACCCTTGGATTCCTGATGGTGGCTCCCTCACTGACAGTGGCTACTTCTGTAGGTCTGGTACATGGATGGCTATTACAAGGGCCGCCGGGTCCTGGAGTTCCGCACCCTCGGAGACTTCATCAAAGGCCAGAACTTTATCCAGCACCTGCTGCCCCAGCCATGGGCAGGCACAGGCCATGTGGTTTATAATGGCTCCCTGTTCTATAACAAGTACCAGAGCAATGTTGTGGTCAAGTACCACTTCCGCTCACGCTCTGTGCTTGTACAGAGGAGCCTCCCAGGGGCGGGCTACAATAACACCTTCCCCTACTCCTGGGGTGGCTTCTCTGACATGGACTTCATGGTGGACGAGAGCGGGCTCTGGGCTGTGTACACCACCAACCAGAATGCAGGCAACATTGTGGTCAGCCGGCTGGACCCGCACACCCTGGAGGTCATGCGGTCCTGGGACACTGGCTACCCCAAGCGCAGCGCTGGTGAGGCCTTCATGATCTGTGGGGTGCTCTACGTGACAAACTCCCATTTAGCTGGCGCCAAGGTCTACTTCGCCTATTTTACCAACACATCCAGTTATGAGTACACAGACGTGCCCTTCCACAACCAGTATTCCCACATCTCCATGCTGGATTACAACCCCCGGGAACGGGCCCTGTACACTTGGAACAATGGTCATCAAGTCCTTTACAACGTCACACTGTTCCATGTCATCAGCACTGCAGGGGACCCCTAGGCACTGCCACATATTGGGGGCAGGGAGGGAGGCTCCCTGAGGGCCCTTCCCACTCTGTCTGTGTCCCTGAAGGATGATCTTTCCGTCTCTGTCTTGCCCTCTCTCTCCCTACCCTTCTGCCAGGCTCTTGTCATTGCCCTCTGTATTTCTATCAATGCATTTCTGCCATTTCATCTCTTCTTTATTGATCTCTGCTTTTGATACTCTACTTTTTATCTTTCTGCCTTTTTATTGATCTCCCTGTCTCTTTCTTTTTATTGATCTGACCCTCTGGTCCTCATTCCCTATCTCTGCTGCTCTTTGTCTCGCTCTGCCCTCCCCCTCCTTTTGCTTCCTGCCCCACCCACACCTCTACTTACACTGCCCTCTCCCCCAAATGGAGTGCATGGATCTGTTTCTTTTTTTATTTACACTTCTTTCTGAGTTGCTGGAATAAATGGGACCTTTGACATTTGATGCTTCGGTGGCTCTGAGTGTCCACGGGGGCACAGAGGTGGGGATGGTGGCCAAATCCAAGCCTGGAGACTTGACACACGTGAGGACTTCCTTATTCCATAACTCAAGGTTAAGTGAACTGGGGCAGGCAGACCAGCATGGGGGATAGGGAGGAGGGGCCCAGGGTAAACCCTTTGGGGAGACCCAATCTAAAGTTATTTCTATTGAAAGCAATTTGTTTAAAAGCAGTTTGATGAAAACAACACAGAAGTTTATCAGAATGATGAAAACTGGCCTCAAATGAATATTCTTCCCGTCACTAGCTTTCCACTCTTGGATCACTCTGGTGCATTGCTAAGTGGTCTGTGGCAGTTTTTTTT